TGGCGACTAGGGCCTCCCAGGAGGCCCCCCAACAAAACGAAAACGAGGCAAGGGCAGGGGCATCGGTCACTGCACCGACCTTGCATATGTGCTCCAGCGAACTTTGGCGTGGATTGCTGTCAATGCAAAACCCCGAAACGGCGAGCGAAAAACGCAGTGAATTTCACGTGGATTTGTTTTGGTCCAAAAAATACGCCGGCGCCGTCTGGAAGTAGCCACGCTCAGCTACTCCCAGACGGCGCCAGCGCGAATCGTGACGTTGCCGGCCCTCTCCCTCCCCCTCCTTTGGGGGCCTGCAAATTGGCACCAACACCAGCACAGGGGGTTGCCTCCACATGGGAAAAATGATCCTAGATTTCGGTGTTGGTGGTAAAATTTCGGTCACCTTGGAAACCAAAATATTACCACCATCACCGAGATCGGGATCGTCTTCCCTCGGTGGAGGCACACCGCCGATCTTGGTGTTGGTGTCAACCTCTAGGCCTGCGACTCCTCCCCTCCAATGGTCGCGCCACGCATCCCCAGGGGATGCGAACTCAGACCCCTGGCGTCACGCTTTTTATAGCGTCGATCACCAGAAGACTCGACCCATTCCCCAGGACGGGCTCTTCATCCCGAGTCGTTTTTTCGACGGCCCCAAAGCCCGGTAAGGGCCCCTGGACGCCCAATGTAGCGAAAAACCTTGGGTCATGATTTTGCCGCTCCATCGCAGAAAATAGCGACCGCAGCCCTATGGACCCGATCTTTCTGCTGCAGTTTTCGAGCCGCACCGATCTGCGACGGTCCACGGGCCTGAAATCGGGCGATACCGCCCGGCTCGACACAATGGAGACGCCAGGATCTCAGGGCATCGCCAGGAGATGCGAGAGTGGCCCCGTTCCCCCTCCGAGTGGAGGGGAAGAAAGCGGGGACCATGACCACGAGGGAACGTGGACACGCCGTGCCGATCTTGGTCACCGCCGATCTTGGTCAGCGTCATTTCGTGGATCATCCTCACGGATCGGCGACGGCCGACAGGGACCATGGCCAAGATCGGTATCGACAAGATCTCGCGGGGACCTCGATAGAGTTCCCCGCCGCGCCCCGAGGAGGCCCGACGAGGACAGCGTCGCAGCCCCCATGCCCCAACGGCGCCGATCGCAAACAGCACCCTGGCGTAACCACACCCTGTGTAGTCGCCATCTCTGAGCACCGCGACGTCTTGTTTTTTTCAATACGCAGTCCCTGGAGGTCCCGACCCTGTCCCAGAGACCAGTTGTCATCCCGAGCAGTTTTTTGACGGTCCTGGGGCCCGGCGAGGGCCTCCAGAGGCCGGACACGGCGAACAACCTCCGGCCTGACCTTGTACGGCGCGATCATGTCTGGGCTGCCTCCCCTGAGCACCGCTCAGCGTACATGAGTACGTGCCCCCAGTCCGCGAGACCAGCCTTGTGATACGAACGTTCGCGCAATGCGTACTTCCGAAACCAACGTTGATTCACGCACGTGTGCGTTCTCGCTCCGCCGTGATCGGCTACACGGAAGAGTGGCCCTAGGCACGAGTGACCTCTGGTGCGCGACTGTCGGGGGGCGCGGGACGGCCAAAGCCGAGCGCGCAAGACGCTGCTACCGCACCGCATGTAATCATCTGGTGACCCCAGTGCACACGTACCACGAGTCACTCAAAATGACAAGTCACTCTTACATCTAGTCGTCTTCGTCGTCGTCGTTATCATCGTCGTCGTCGTCCTTGTCGTCGTCGACGTCCTCGTCGTCGTCGCCGTCGTCGTTGTCGTCCTCGTCACCGTCGTCGTCGTCGTCGTCGTGGCCGTCGTCGTCGTCGTCGTCGTCGTCCTCGTCGTCGTCGTGGCCATCTTCGTCGTCGTCGTCGTTGTCGTCGTCGTCGACGTCGTCGTCCTCGTCGTCGTCGTCGTCGTCGCCGTACTCGTCCTCGCCCTCGTCCTTGCCGTCGTCGTTGTCGTCGTCGTCCTCGTCCATGCCTTCGTCCTTGTCCTTGTCGTCGTGGTCGTCGTGGTCGTCGCTGCCGTCGTCGTTGTCGTCGTCGTCGTCGTCCTCGTCGTCGTCGTCGTCGTTGTCGTCGTCCTCGTCGTCGTCGTCGTCGTCCTCGTCGTCGTCGCCATCGTCGTCGTCCTCGTCTTCTCGACGTCATCGTCGGCGTCCTCGTCGTCCTCGTTCTCGTTGTCGTCGTCCACGTCGTCGTCGTCCTCGTCGTCGCCGTCCTCGTCGTCGCCCTCGTCCTTGCCGTCGTCGTTGTCGTCATCGTCGTCGTTGTCGTCGTCGTCTTCGTCGCCGTCCTCGTCGTCGTCGTCGTCGTCGTCGTCCTCGTCGTCGTCGTCAACGACCTTGGCCTTGCCCTCGTCCTCGTCCTTGTCATCACCGTCGTCGTCCTCATCCTCGTTCTCGTCGTCGTGGCCGTCGTCGCCGTCGTCGTCCTCGTCGTCGTCGTCGTCGCCGCCGTCGTCGTCGTCGACGTCCTCGTCGTGCTCCTCGTCGTCGTCATCGTCGTCGTCGCCGTCGTCCTCGTCATCGCCCTCGTCCTCGTCCTTGTCGTAGTTGCCGTCGTCGTCGTCCTCGTCGTCGTCGCCCTCGTCGTCGTCGTCCTTGTCGTCGTCGCCGCTGTCGTTCGTCGTCGCCGCCCCCGTCGTCGTCGTCGTCGTCGTCTTCGTCGTCGTCGTCATCCTCGTCGTCGTCGTTCTCGTCGCGGTCGTCGTCGTCGTCATCGTCGCCGCCGTCGTCGTCGTCCTCGTCCTCTATCTTGTCGTCGTCGTACCCGTCGTCGTCCTCGTCGTCGTCGTTGTCGTCGTCCTCGCTCTCGTCCTCGTCCATGTCGTCGTCGTAGTCGTCCTCGTCGCCGTCGTCGTCATCGCCACCATCGTCGCCGTTATCGTCGCCGTCATCGTCGTCGCCGTCCTCGTCGTCGTCGTCGTTGTCATCGTCGTCGTCGTCGCTGTCGTCCCCGCTCGAGCCCTCGTCCTCGTCCTTGTCGTCGTCGTCGCTCTCGTCCTCGTCGTCAATGTCGTCGTCGTCATCGTTGTCATCGTCGCCGTCGTCGTCGTCATCGTCGTCGTCGTCATCGCCGTTGTCGTCCTCGTCGTCGTCGTCCTCCTCGGAGAGAGCGTGATCCACCACCGCTTTTCTGTGGAAAATTTCCCCTCCTCTTCCTCCAGAGCCCGGGGGTACCCCCACCCTCCCCCCCTGCTCGAACGCCCCCCACCCCTCACTTCCTCCGGCAAAACCCCCTTCCCCCCTAACCCCTCCCCCCCATTCCCCCCTCCGGCCGGAAAACCGGGGGGGGGTCACTGCTGGTTCGAAAACCATCCCCCCCTCCAGAAAACAGGGGGGTCACTACCGGTTCGAACCCCCCCTCTCCCCCAACCCCCCCCGCCGGCAAACGACTCCCAGGTCCCCACCACCGTCCTCACCACCGCCCTCACCGCTGTCCCCAGCACCACCGTCCCCACCACCACTGTCCCACCGTCCCCACTGTTCCCGCCACTGTCCCCACTGTCCCCACTGTCCCCACCAGTGCCCCCACCACTGTCGCACTGTCCTCACTGTCCCCACCACTGTTCCCACCACTGTCCCCACCACTGTCCCACTGTTCCCACTGTCCCCACCACTGTCCCACTGTTCCCACTCTCCCCACCACTGTCCAACTGTCCCACTGTCCCCACTGTCCCCGCCGCTGTCCCAGTGAGCTGTCCCACTGTCCCCACCACTGTCCCCATTGTCCCCGCCACTTTCCCCACTGTCTCATTGTCCCATTGTCCCACCACCCTCCTCACCACCGCCCTCGCCACTGTCCCCACCACCCACCTCCGTCCCCACCACTGTCCCACTGTCCCCACCGTCCCCACCAGTCCCTCTGTCCCCACACCACTGTCCCCACCACCACCGTCCCCACCACCACCGTCCCCACCACCGTCCCACTGTCCCCACCACTGTCCCAGTGTCCCCGCTGTTTCCACCATTGTCCCCCCTGTCCCCACCAGTGCCCCCACCCGTGTCTCACTGTCCCCATTGTCTCCACCACTGTCCCCACCACGGTCCGACTCTCCCCACTGTACCCGCTGTCCCCACCACTGTCCCACTCCCCACTGCTGTCCCACTGTGCTGTCCCACTCTCCCCCTTGTCCCCACCTTTTCATGATGGACTGGGGGGGTGAGGGATGGGGGGTGTCGAAGCGGTAGTGACCCCCCCCGATTTTCGAGGGGGGGGCGGGAGGACGGGTTGGAACCCCCCAGTGACCCCAGCGGTTTTCGGCCAATAGCGGTAGAACACGCTCTTTCCGTCCTCGTTGACGTCGATTTCGTCGTCGCCGTCGTCGCCCTCGTCGCCGTCGTCGTCGTCGTCCTCGTCGTCGTCGTCATCGCCATCGACCTCCTCGTCGTCGTCGTCGTACTCCTCGTCGTCGTCCTCGTCGTCGTCGTCGTCATCTTCGTCGCCGTTATCGTCGTCGTCGTCGTCGCCGTCGTCGTTGTCGTCGTCGCCGTCGCCCTCGTCGTCGTCGTCCGATGTTGTCGCCGTCGTCGTTGTCGTCGTCACTGCCGCCGTCGGCGTCGTCGTCGTCGTCGTGGTCGTCGCCGCAGTCGCTGTCGTCGTCGTCGTCCTCGTCGACATCGTCGTCGTCGTCGTCGCCGTCGTCACCGCCGTCGCCGTCGTCGTCTTCGTCGTCGTCGCCGCCGCCGCCGTCCTCGTCGTCGCCGTACTCGTCGTCGTCGTCCTCGTCTCCGTCGTCGTCATCGTCGTCGC